AACCACCACAAATTGAAAGAGTTAACAAAATTAGCAGCTAATATTTTCAAAAACCATTTTAAAAACCAACGCCCTAAAAAGTTATTCAATATTTCTAAATAGAGAGTGTTTTGTCTCTTACCTGGAGGATAGTATTCCTTGTTAGTGGGTGTGTCAATACAGCCCTTTACCTCTTTAAAAAAACGTCAACAGAAGGAGATAACATCGGCTAATAGCTGACGATTTCCGTAAAGACAAAACAATTGTTCAATGTGCCAAACATGCTTCATGCAACGAATTACTTTCGATACTTAACAAATGGGAGATACCAACCAACCGGTTACATCATTCCATTTAATAGTGAATGAACCAATAACCATCGAATTTACCATCCAATAACTGGAATAAAATACCAGTAACTTGTGATTGTCATCATTAGCAAACCATTCTATCTCATGGGTTCCCCAAAGAGAATCTAAATGCGACAATAATTGTTTGTCAAGACCCCATTCTTCGTAATCAATAATAAGACTAATGTTATCTGCTTTCTCATTGAAAGTTCAAGGAACCTATTCTGCATCGATGGATATATGTAAAACAATTTTCAAAAAAAAAAACACAAAGCAATATCCTGTTATTCAGGTTTCTTAGCAACAATTCTGACTACATTTCGGTGTCACTGTTCCATTTGATTCGTTTGTCTTATAAATATCAATCTTAGATAAAACAATGTGTGTGACGGCATATAGCTCTTTCCACGTAGAACTTATTCGGACCACATACAATGAGCTAAATTAACATGTGTTTCTACAGTATACCCATCATATCTTGTATTACTAGCATCGCTGTAAACTACAATCGGACATGAAAAATCGGAAGTAATTTTATAACATTTACCTTCCAAAATTTTCTTTCCAGAAATGAATTTGTATGAAGCTTGTTCTTGATAAACGACACAACTATTCAACTATCCTCGTCTCATGGGTTTTCGTGCTATTAAGAATGCATTGTGACGTCACAATTTCCATTAAAAAAACATGCATAGTACGAATTCATATGACGTACGAACACATATGATCTGACCATAAGTATTTTATTTAATATCAATGCGTAGAAGTAGCCCATTACATTAGACATTGTTACTGTTTGTCCCATCAATGAGGCAACCAGTCTAGCGTGAACTTAACGGTATTTTTAAATGTAAAATTCAAAGTCATCAATAGTTTTTAGAACCCTTTGAACTGTGTCATCCGGTATTTTTGCAATACCCTGGTAGGTGTCAATAGAATAACAGAAGAATACAAATTTGTCGTAGACTACCATTAAGATTTTGCATTTTTTTGGGAAAATAACCACTGGTGATTAAATCTTGTCTCACTAGTTCAAACACAGTTTTACAAGTATCTTCGTCCGTGTGAGTACATAAACCATCGTCTATGTACATAAAAACTTGTTTACCTTCACTCTTTCGTTTTTTGATAAGTGGTCTGGTGATCTAAATATATAACAAGCTGAAGGGATACCAAAGGGTGGACTGACAATGTATACCAGTTTGCAGTGTTTTCATACTCCCAAGCCACCAAAAAAATTCTGTATGAGGCATAAACATATCTGTATGGTGATATGCTGACACAACGTCAAACTTGAAGCTTAAAGAATTGTTTGTAATAAATTTAATAGCTATGCAAATATCTTTCAATTAACATTAGTTTTCAAAGATCTGTATGAAAATGTCTGAGATTTAAAATTACACGTTCCTTTTTACTGTTAACGTTAGATGCAGAAACTGTAAGTTGATTTACAATACGCGGTTGAAAGCCACATTTTTCAATCAAGACCTTTATCAAAAGATGTGAATAGCTTCTGTGGCAAACTCGGTATGGATGATTGTCGATCGATTGTTTTAAAACATATTGACGGCGGAGTGCTGAAATTTTGTAACGTTCAAAACCGTGTAATAAAATTAAATCATAACTTCTCATACTTTTCTCAAATAAATATTGATTTTTCAGCCTGTCCTTAACAATAATATTTGCCTGGCCTTGTTCATACTCTGAATTATCATAAGTAAGATCATTATATCCATAAATAAAATATCTCATCGTCGCTAGCCACTGGATTAGTTTCATATTGTCGAAAAGTCTCCCATTCCCATTATGTATGCTGATCTTGTCATTAATTTCCGTGATATTATTTCGTGCGTACTGTAAATTCAGAAATTATTGCGATGCTTTTATTATTGTGAAAAATGCGACAGGGTTATAATTGCAATAATTTTAACTCGCATTTTGAAATTTTTTATATGAATTAAACAGGATTTTTCTCAATATCGCAAAAATTAAAATCGCCTTTTAGTCTAAAATGACAAAATCGCAATAATAAATGCACGCTATAATTTGTGAATTTACAGTATTAATTTTTTTAATTCTCAATTGCCCAAATGGATTGTATAAGGTCTCTTTAAAAAAGTCTTTCGAAGAAATTGAACTTATTCCACTTGTTTTTCCAATTAAGGATGTTTGCTCCTCTTGTTTTTGAATTTTTGCCAGATTTTCGGAATCCTCTGGTTTTATCCATGTGTTGCCATTAAAAAAAGTTTTCCCGCTAACCCCTACTTTAATTTTTATAATTTTTTTACATATAGTTTAAAAAGCAATATTTCAAAATCTTATAAAATCATTGTTATTTTTTCAAAGTTTTTGAAACAAAAAAGCGGCCAATGTTAAAAGTAAGAAAAATCTAAAGAGAATCATTTCCCGCCGAATTGTCAATGGGTTATATCTCGAAAACAAGCACACGGACCCTTCATTGTTTTCGGCTTTTTTAGTTCCTTTATATATATATACTATCATTTTAGAACAGTCTCTAAAAAAGCTTGTTACTTTGAAACAGAGTAGCAAACATCCTTAAACTTGGATTCAGTATTTTAAAATTTTTTAGCTTAGGAGGAACGGAAACAGTGAACTTCCTGTCTTCAATCGGAAATATCTTCCCTTAGACTAGCGTTAAATTTACATCGCGTCTTAACAGCTTGCATTATATCTGTTAGCAAAACCTCCTGGCATGAATAAATTACTCCTTATTTTTCAGCCATTACCAACAAATTTTGACTAGTAGGTGATTTTAATAACGATCGCTTTGGCGCTGTCGTGCGGAATGACCGAACCCACCGTTTCGGCAGGAAACTGACGACACCTATACATAATGAAAAAGGTAAGAAAAAAAATTTCACTACGTTCAACCGTGTGAAATTATATTTACATTACGTTATGTGATTAAACTGTAGCGATAAATTAACACAACTTCACAATAAGTGTGTCAAAATTATAAAGTGCAATAAAGACGTTTTCTGATGTACCAGTCTAATAATTGATTGATCCTACATTGCATCTTTAAATTTGACCTTACGAAAGTTATTATTTTATACCTTGAAGCACATTTCATTAAAACTTTATATCGTCCGAGGGATTGTTTCTGAAAATTAAAAGGGATTAACTCCATATTTGTTCATAAGCTTTAATATATTTTTAAACCATATCCTTTCTATTTATAATAGTTGTTTATAAGTCGGTTATGATTTCGTATATGATAAAAATGACAGTTTGTCTCAACATGTTAAATGTTTGCTACGAAACACTCACACTTTTTGACAGCATTGATCAATATGAGGGACTGAATGGGGGCATTCATTCTTGTATTCTTTACATTTTAGGTAATTTTTCTCTATGCTTTATATTCTATGCCTAAAATTCTCTATTCTTTATATTTTAGCACCCGATTATTCTCTTGTCTTTTTTGTTTATTCCTGTTTGTATCCATTCTTTATTCTGTATATTTTTTGTCTGTTATTCTCTATTTTCTATACCCACACCAGGCCCTCCAATATTGTATAATTTCATCTCAACCAATAATATTGAATATGCAAGAAAAACATAGATCTATCAGTTATACATGTTCGTTGATCACTCTATATTGAATCTGTAAACAGCAAGGTGGTGTCTTTTACCATCCGAGAGGATTCCAGAATTCACAGGTAAGGTATTTGTCATGTGTTTATGGATACAACAGATAATAATGATTGTTCGTCTCTTTTCAAAATTGGTAAAACAATTTTATGAAATTATCAATTAATGGCTAGATTATATTTTTTGCTTAAAGTTCTTAAATTTTCGAATAGATACAAAGAGCTGATAATTGAATGCTTGTGTTTATATTTTACGAAAACAATTATTTTCAAATTCAAGCAGCAGAAAATAAGAGGCCTAATTAAATCTTTTTCTTTAACTTAATACTAAAACAATATCATTCTAAACAACTGTTTTTAAACCATAGATTGTACAATTATATTATCATTTATGAAAATCAGTTGAAATGAACATTTAATGCAACTGAATTGACAAGACCGTAGATATAAGTTCAATAACTATGACGACCATATAGTTATATAACACATATACAAATCCTATATGGATAATCATTTATTCGAACAATTTTTCTTTTTATTGTTTTAAAATCTAAACAGACAATACTCAAATTGTCATATTTACAAAATATCACATCGGAAGTCTTTTGATGTATTATTTAATATATGAAACCAAGACAGAAATTGATTAAAGAAAGAAATAAATAGATAAAATAGAACTGAATCTGTCCTAAAAATCTTTTCCTTTGAATATAAAAAATAAAATCAATTAAAAAAACCTCCGTTTTCACAATATTGCATTATTTTCTTTGTTGAAAAGATTTTTCGATATTTATCTTTCAGGGTGAAGACGGGTTCAATTAGAACAGAAGATATGTCTAACAACACAACAAAAATAAGTATAAACAACCATCATGATGTAATAGCTGCTCAGACGCCTACGTGGTTCCATTTTACTTCCGGTGTAATTCTTCTTAATACAACTCTCGTGTCTGTAGTTTCGAACGGATTTGTTATTTTCGCATTATTGGTTAAGGATAGGAAGCTGCAGACCAGAATAACTGTTTATATTATAGCGATATGTTGTTTGAACTTATTAATGGCAACATTTGGAACACCAATGGTGGTAATATCCTGTTTTAACAAACTATGGTTGTTTGGGGAATCAGGCTGTACCTACTATGGCTTTTTGATGTCATTTGGCGGTCTTTCTTCAATACTTCTTTTGACTATAATTTCCGTCGACCGTTACATATACGTTGTAAAACACAATTTATCAAAACACCAATCAACAATACCAATAATTATAACTATAACTGTATGCTTTCTCATGACATTTGGTTTTACCATAAGTCCTTTAATTGGTTGGAACCAGTACACATATGCAGGAGTTGGTACCTCATGTGCAATAGATCTAGTTGGAGAAAAAAACAACGGCCAATCATTCGTCTTAGCTCTATGTGCTATCTACTTTGCTTTACCTGTTGCTGTGATGATATTTGCATACGGATCTATTTATGCAAAGGTATGTACAACCTTCAAAATGTATCAAAACATAGTAATGAAACACGTTTTGTGGTGCAATATGACCATCATTACGTAGGCTGGAGGTCAAATGTTTCGAAAAACAATCACCATCATGTTAATGATACTAAAAAAATCATAAATGTCGTGCGTCTAAACCACTTTTACGAGCTTGTCCTCATCAAGAATGCTCAAAACTATACAAGCGAAATTACGCTTCAAATGTACGTAAAACAAAGTCGAAAAGAAGGTTTATTATATATAATAACCATTGTTACCTCCAGGATTGCGGTTTAAAGTACAACTATTACGTTATGGAATAAAAAAATTATTATACTTTGTGTCAAAATGCCAGATTTAGATTTGTTGATACGAGGGAGACAATTTACTCTATCCCATTGCAAATACTCTATTACCCTTCGCGGAGACGCTTGCTCAAGTGTGCGCTTAAATAAATCCGGATGCTTGTTATATACAAAACGTCATAGCTTATTACTTAAATAATAATTGTAATTTAAAATATAATAGATAGTAATAACATTCAGTATAATAAATTAAATAACACATATCTGAGAGGGTGATAAAGCAGATTGTTATCCCTCAAAAAGACATTGTCAACCTTTGCTTCGCCTCAGTTGACAATGTTTTCTCGGGGTAACAATCTGCTCTATCACCCTCTTAGCTATGTGTTATTTATATAATATAAAGAAATGTTGATCATTCAAAGCTATTAAGTAAATCTGTACAATATCAAAAATAATATTGAATTTGAAATTTGAAATTTAACAATATTTGTAAAATTGATTACGCCTATGAAACAACTCTTTACTAAAAGAGAATATTTTAAAGTTTACAATTTTTTTCAAGCTCACCAGCCAAGTCTTATTCGGCAGGTCACATTCAAGAAAAAGAGGACGGATGTGATGAATTCAATGTATTTGTCATAATAAAATACATATCGAAATTATTCCTAGTTCATCGTAAGTTTATAATTTTACTTGTTTTCTTGAAAGGTGTTGAAAGATTCCAAGGCCAAATTGGGATACAGTCGAAGGAAGGATGTCGCGTTACAAAGACAAGAATTCCGAAAGAAATTATCCATGGAACAAGAACTTGCAGTAACAGTTATCATTAATATTGGTCAGTCTAATATAAAATAACAAGACAATTTAACTTTTAAAAGAAAAAGATGTTGGTATATTTCAATAAAACAATAAGCAGAGGTAACCATAGATACAGAAAAAAGACTCATAAAAGTTGTCTACATCCTCGGCTTATAATTTGGTCTGAGATGGATGGTCACATTGGCAACCATATCACATATTATTATTTTGATACAGGAGACAAGTGAATATACAGTTTTCCTAACTTAATAAGTCACTAAGAGGATCATCAGCACAGGAGCTAGTGCTCCAGTACAGACATATATTTTCTTGAATTGTCCTTTCATGAAATAAGCAACTATTATGACACTAAGTTCTTAACTCCTTCGGGCCATCAACCAATGCATATAGATAATTTTATTATATTTCAAGGGCCGTTTATGGCATATAGCTTATCACGTGTGCCGGTAGTTACATATTTTTGGATTTGAGCGTTCATCATGAAAGTGGATTAAGAAAAACGATTCGGACACATTCAATTTATTAAATGTAGTACATTTCTTTCTAAATGGTCCGTGGTCTAGAATGGATATAAATGTTTTAACATTATTGAGATATCTGTCGTAAACACAAAAATCCAAAATTAAAGAAAATTAAGAGATAGTGCAAGACAGGGTTCCATTTGTTTCGTTGTTCAAATCCTTCTACTTTTGAATTCAATCAGTTGAACTAAAAAAGGGATATAAAGAAATAGATATTTGAGTAATAATTCATGCCAGCCATAGATTTGTTTTTCACATGCCATGCACCATTATATTTTATATCTATTTCAATTTTTACACAGCGAAATACGCATAGTGTGCGGACATAGGTCCTGACACATGTGAACTTACGTGGGAGGTAAATTGTAACTGCCGTTAAAGAATATGTACATATCAGAGTCTGCGCGAAGAACATATCTATTGAGAATTTACAAAGCCAAAAAGCGAGTTATATCATATTCAAAACATTATAGAGGATTGCACTTGAAATATCAAAGTAGGACTTTATTATTTAGTTGTGTAATTTCTTTCATCAGAAACAATCAATGAAGTAGAGCCAGGATCCCCTATAAACGGCCCTGTAAAAGTGTGTTTTTTTAACTTCAATTATTAAAGTGAATATAGTTAATATGCATTGCTAAATGTATGATATTTAGAAGTATTAAACGAAAAGTGTTGTCTGCTTCAGTTTATAGATATATTAGCCTGAATTAGAAATAGATTTAATGTTCATCCATTTTTCTAGAAATTTGTCAATTTTTTTACCCTTTTTCACGATTTTGTTTGTGGCGCCACCCCTAGCCAATTTAATTTTTTTTTCTGAAAAGTAAACCATATGGTAAATAAAGAATATTCCAGCAAAATCTTTGTGAGCGAAGGGTGGCGCCACTGTTTATTTTTTTAGAAAATTCAGTATACTTACGATCAATCTTAGTCGTAAGGTTTTTTGTGAACCCGACTCCAGGTTTTTATGAAATTCTCCTTCATTATGACGTCATAATTACATCATTACGCAATCGGTAAAAAATGTATTTCAGCTGAAACCATTGGATTTTAAACATATGTTTTAATCATCTTTCCACTACATTATCACAGTGAACAATTTTAAGATATTTAGGGCCGAAATAATGAGTTAGTGAACTGAAAGCCATGGATGTACAATTACCTGATAACCGAAGAAACTTTCACTATTGAACATTGACCTAAAGAAAAATAGACTAATCCGTCTATGGTCAATTTTGACTTTGGAAGTTGAACCTTTGTTTATTAATAATTTCTATTACTTTAAATTCAATTTGTCACATAACTCTTTAAAAATCGTATAAAAATACAGATAAATGTTTATAAGTGATAGCATTTGATATTAAAGGAATTCTCGCAGCTACTAAAAGCAAGATCTTAATTCTTCATTTGTTCGTATCAAATCGCATCGTTGCATAGTACATGGTGTATTAGTAAAAATCGTTTGAACATTCATATATATATATATGAGTATTATTCTTTTTTTCTAGGTTTCTTCTTAATATGTTACACTCCATATGCATGTGTACTTCTATGGAAAGTGTTAAGTAAAGATGCTGAAATCGACCCAATTGTCATGGCAATACCAAACATGATAACCAAGATTGCGGGAATGTTTACACCATTTGTCTTTTTGAGCAAGAACAAGGTCTTTAGAGAACACATGTTGAATATATACCCCTGTTTCAGACCGAGGAACGTGGTACATACCTGTGAAAGTATTGAGCAAACAACAGTGACAACTGTACACAACAGAGATGAAACAACAAGCGTGCATCCTTCCAATACAAAACAGGGCAACAACTCTAAGCAGCGTGACGATAGACAATTTTAACTTATAAAAGAGAAACCCTCGTTAAATGACGAAACTGAGCTTGTTTTGATATAATATATCCAATCTGATATTCAGACGGAATCTCCCTTTTCACAAACTCTTCGGAGGCTGTCGGCGGATATTACGATCACATTTGATCCACAGTGTATAATAAAACTGTCTGACGTTTACAAAGATTGTAGATTAACTGACAACCCGTCACATTGTGACCGATGTTACTCTGTTCAAGCATTATATAACCAATTATAGACTTGAAAGATAAACAAGAATATACTACGATAATATAAACATTAGGAGATTTAGTATGATTGCCAAAAATGCAACCATCCAACATAGTTAAAATGTCGATTGTCGAATAGGCAATCGTAGGCCAAATAGACAACATGTGTGATATCCTAACCAATCATATTCTACACAGATAACTCCATTTGTACTATGTGTGATCATTGCCGCCTTACCAATCATAGACTAAACTGATCACTTAAATTCATCCATGTATGATCAATTGTCACCTGACCAACTATAGGATAAACAGACCACTCCATTTTATGTATGGGTGATCGATTTTCGAAAAAATAACTTCATTTCATCCATGTGTGATCTATTTTCGTCTAACCAGTCATATGATACACAGATAACTCCATTTGTACCATATGTGATCAATTGTCGCCTTACCAATCATAAACTAAACAGATCACTTAATTTTATCTATGTGTGATCAGTTGTCGCCTAACCAACTATAGGCTAAATAGATCATTCCATTTTATGTTTTGGTGAGCGATTGTCTACTTGGCAATCGTATGCAAAATAGATAACTTCATGTCATCCATGTGTGATCGATTGTCTCCTTACCAGTCATATACTACACAGATAACTCCATTTCATCTCTGTATGAACGATTGTCGTCTAATCAAATATTCAAAGTAAATTGTAAAATCCATTCATATCACAGATGGTAGACCTACCTAAATAAGATTTGGTGTATCAATACTTTCATTGCAAACATTGAATTTTATTTATGAAGCATCAATTATTCATAATTAAAGAGCAACAGGGTACATTGTAATTTTAGTTGTATATTTATACAAAATCTTACTGTTGTGATTGTGTCGACCATTTCAGAAAATATATATTATGGACGATGAATAAACAACTGGCTTACAAATATTTCATTGATTGATTTATAATTTGTTAGTTGGTTAAAGATACCAAAGGGATATTAAAACTCATATGTCGAAAACATACTGATAACGCTATGGCAAAAAAACAAAACAAAAAACGTTGAAAAGACAAAAAACAATACACAAAACAGAATAAAGAAAACTAGACTGAGCAACTTGAACCCTATTTAAAACCGAGAGTGATCTCATTGGCTCCGGAGGGAAAGTAGTAAACGCTTAAACAGTTACCACTATACTTATTGCAGTAAATGCAAGGCATTATACATTTAGTTATGTTTTAATTTTTCAAAAAAGAAATCGATGATAGCACTGATAAAACTTTAAGAATAAATGTATTCAAAGGATCGATGAGCTAACATTGAAAGTTTCAAATTAGTGGGCTCTATAATCAATATCTACCTAAAAATTAGGATGTGATATCCAAATTTGGATACGAATTCTACAGGTTTAACCAAATTTCCTTACTAAGTCTTCTGTTTAATAACATTATGTGGAAGTGCAATATACAAATTCGAAAAGTTTTATCTATCAACCGAATTGAACGGACCATCAAAAGCACGTAAAACATCCAAGGAGTTTCTGAAACTCTAAAAATCATTCATTCATTTATTTTTATATACTTTATTACAATAAATAATAGACAATTTTGATAGAAGTGCGAGAACTAGTTACCAGAAGCGAAAACTCAATCGTAAAGCAGAGATGAAACGAATTTTCTTTTTTTGGAGTAGTTTAGGTAGCCAATACACATTACATTACTTTCAAATCTACAAAAGAGGCCTTAAGCTGAGATGTGATAGTGGTATGATATTTTATGATTTACGTCATACCGCTGTCACAATGTTGGGTGTTTTGTGGGCAGGTACGAGCACAAAACTTTAATAAAGAAAAGCTATTAAAAAATATATGTTCATGTGTGTTATACTAAAAATGAGCAGTTCAGTTACATAAAGAATAAAAGGCGTAACTCGATAAATCAGTACAAAGTGGGGAAAAAAAACACTAAAAAGCAACATAAAAACAATAACACAAAACACCGTTATAAGAGTATTTGCAATGTACTGAATGCTCGTTCAAAGCTATTTACAACTAATAAATAAATCATGTTCTACCAGACCAAAGTATCAATCAGTACACATCCTACGCATTTAGTGTAAAAACATCATTAACAGTCTGAGAGATTCATGACCTTATGCTATGCCAAAATACAAGTAACCAGTATAGACTGGATTTTGAAACATTAGTACTTATCAATGTACATACATGTACATAGCAAGATATATTCAGTTATGTTTTAATAATTCAAAAATGAAATCAATGTTTGTACCGATGAGACGATGTTTACAGATTCAATTATGTTGTTTAAGTTATCAGAATAAGTTTATTTAAGGGATCGATGAGTTTGCAAGGATTGTATCTAAATTAATAGGTTTTAAAAAAAACATTAACATAAAAATAAGAATGTGACAAACCAATTTT